AAGGTTTCCTTACCACACATGTGATCAATTTTTCTATCATTTACAACAGAATATTTAGATTTGCTTTTGGGATCCGCAAACTGGCACGCAGTTAGGCAAAAAAATGACCGGTCACAAGCAGTGGATTACGGAACTTGCTTGGGAACCTTATCACAGCAACTCGCAGTGCAGGTATTCATTGGTGTAATATTTGTTTTTTTGGAAAATGATAAATAAATCGGTGTCTTAAGTTGAGACCGTATTCGCGATGTAAATTAGTTCACCACCAAAAAGAACTGATTAAGTCAGTGTATAATTTTTAATTATAACTTCAGCACTGAGCCTCTAAATTTTGCCCCGCAAGAAAACTTGCTTGTAATGCCCAATTTCAGTCGATTTGATGACGCATTAGACATATCTTGGTAGTTTTTTCGGTAGAAACTTTGTCAGTTATGAATTTTTGTTAACTTTTAATGCACAGTTGAGTAAGGGAAAATTTGAGCATAGTTTTTGTCGCTTTAGCGTTTTGGGCTAAAATTGGACTGAAAACTATCTATTCTTTGGAAATTCTGCCCTCTTAATCTCGTCCGCTTTTTCTTGCGGAAACGATTTTAAACACTTTCAAAGGTGGAAGCTACACCTCTTGAACGCACTGTTGTTGTAAAAGATTTTTCACCACCGCATTCTTTGCGTTCTTTTTTTAAGGCATCTTGCAAGTGCTGGAAAAGATGGAAATGTAAGGATTTGGGATACAGTAAAATGTGAGTTGGTTCGATGCTTGACAGGCCATACTGCTTCTGTGACCTGTTTGAAATGGGGCGGACAAGGTCTGATATATACAGGATCTCAGGTGAGTAATTAGAATTGCCAAAACTGAACTTAATGTTGGAACTAATAATGAGATATTACAGGGGTTTTTATAGGGATATTTGAAAGTGGTAGTACCGAAGGCTGAGAGCTTCTTGATTGCTGGTTTTCATTAATATATTTAAAGCTTCGCTTAAGATATATTTAAAAATGTATTTAAGGACCGAACAGTGAAAGTTTGGCGAGCTGAAGATGGAATTTTGTGTCGAACATTAACAGGTCACGCACACTGGATTAATACACTAGCTCTGAATGTGGAATATGCCTTACGCACTGGTTTTTATGAACCCTTGGAGCAGTCGATTGTTTCACTTGATGATGCGGTTGGCTAAATTTTTATCTGTGACTGAGAAATTTAAACTATTCTTTAACTCGAAGCGTATAAGATTTACTAAATTTTAACTCAATTTGCGTTAGAATCCGGTCTAAATTTGAATTCGCAAAGTCCAAAATTCTGACGAAATGTTTATAAACTTGAACCTGTAAGATTGGCTTGCAAGTTGGATTATATGAGTTAATGAATTTCGGATTAATAATTTTATGAAGATTTGCTAGCAGGACAGTTCGGACTGTCGA